TTATTTGCTAAGTCTTTCTCTGTTTCTGAATGAAAAAAAAACATCCTTATCACTCAACTGTAATTTCAGAATCCAGGCTAAGGAGGGAAGAGAGATGGTGTAAGGGCTGCTCCTTCCAGTGAGGGGAAACTTTCTTTCTGCTGTGAAAATAAATGAAGGATTTCCCCACATAAGGATAGCAGACAGAAAACATTAAAGCTTGTGAGAATATTTAACATCAGGTTGTGTTTGATGGCATTCACTGCCATCATTAAGATCAAAGCCAAAACCACCCAGACTGGATCCACAATGCAGGCAATGACAGCAGCTGAATTTCTCAGGCTTCAGAAAGATATATGGGATTAAAATAATATGAGATAATATGAAAAGAGTATTTTGAGAGGGATAATATAAAATATGATAATATGAGATTAAAAACTAAATAACCAAAGAACCAGTAAATCATGGACAAACCTAAGAGCCAACTACAGTAAGCCCCTACCTGCACTTACCTGTGGCATAGCAGAGGATAAAAGGGCAATTTCACAGCTGTCCACACCATCAGCAAAGTTGTTCTTGCTGCACGAGTCTGTAGAAAAAAAAACTCCTTCTGCCATAGTGGGACAGAATAAAGTTCCCAGTCCTCCCCATCCCTTCCAGCACCCAGAGAAAAGTTCAAACCCACGGGTATGAATGAGAGTGAAAACATCTGTGTATGTGGTGAACAGGAGTAGATTTGTACCCCTGAAGGATTTCCTAAAGCAGGGCCTCAGTGGACAAATTGCAGAGGTTTCACACCAAGCCATTCTAATTCTCATTCTAAAGTTCTAAACAGTAGCAAAAACACACAGGAACTTGTATCTCAGATAAAGCACATTCATGACAGACATATTTCCTGTTATTTCTCTCAGGCTGATCCCCAACTGTGCCCAAATGACATATTCACTATCCTTGTCTTTCCTTCTCCTTTCAACACGCTTTCCCCTGAAGGATTAAACAGAGAGGAAACAGCCTGCACTGAACAGCTCCCAGGGAAAGCAGGAATACCAGCTATGCCATAAATAACGTGGATGCAGAATTGCTCTGTCAGAACACAGGTGTCCATCCCTGCAGCAGCTGTGGGTACTGTGCTGCTGGCCAGGCTCTACCTGCAGAGAGAGCAGATTATTTCTGCTTCCACATCACTTTGATGCTGAAGAGCATCGGTGAGCGAAGTGTCAACCTCCACCCACTCCCTGGGAGCTCACGACAGGTTTTCTTCTTCCTTTTTGTCCCCTCTGCACAGTGACCTACTTTCAGCCCCGTTTTTCTTTTCCCCTCTGTGCTGTGCTACCCCTTTCCTCTCTCCTGCACTCCCTGATGTCCCTCCCCTGTCACAGACAGCCGGTGATGTGTGACCACCTTCGGACTCGTTTCTGCTGTCAGGGGCCCACGGGCTGGGAGTTCTGCATCAGTGGACACAGCACCTCCCATTTCCACCTTCTGAGGATGACTTGCTAAGAAATGAAGGAGATGGGATCTTGCTAAAAACCTCTTATCAAACAGCACAGATCAATGGCTTAGAAAACATTTCTTTAAAAATAACACCATCCACCCCCCTACCTTCATTGCCTCCTGCCTCAGCCCTTTCCTACCAGCACCTCATCTCTCCAGCGACCTAAATCCTTTTTAGCTCCAGGAGAGTTATCCAAATAAAGCTACTTTGCAATCAGAACAGAGTGTAACCCGGTTTGAGGGTGCTGTGTAATGCTGCAGGCAGTTCTTGACACAGAACCAAGTATCCTGCATAGTTAAGTGCTGTTTTGCACATGCTCTTTACATCACAAGGTCGTGTCACTCCACCACCCCCCTCCTGAACACTCCTCTATTTTCGATTACTGAAAGCAATTTCTTTCCATTCCATGCCCTTGGAGCCAACCACTACACAACAGCAAACAGAGAGGATGCTTGGCCACAAGGAAAAAGAAACAAACAAAAAGGTCTGAAAACAAACAAACAGAAATCCCCAGGAAACAAAATAAACAAACAAAAAAAAACCCCACTGGCATAATTTTTTCTCTTAGCTTCCAAATCAGGACGATCAACAGAAAAAAAACCCATATATACTTAAAAACCTTTTGCAGGGCTTCCTCCATCACAGCCAGCTATGCTGAGCCACAGCCCACTGAGCTGAATTCTCCTCGGTGGTGAGTCAGGACGTTAAGCCGGTCACAGATACAGTCACACCACTTGTCACCTCCCGGCACAGTCCCCACGGGACGGGGAAGGCTCTGCAGGCAGCACAGGACGGGGGAAGGCACTTCAGAAGAGCTGACATTTACCTTGGGGATGTGCCTCGTTATTGCTCTGGCACCGACCGTGCTTCCCACAGATTAAAGGCATTAAATGACACCACTGAGGGAACACACGACCCAAAGCTGCAAAAAAATGAAGCCAGACTGGACACGGGAAAAGGCTTCAGAGTTGTGTGAGAAAAACATAATCATCAGTTGTATTTATTCTTGTTCCACACTTTTCTGTCTTCAGCCTTCACCACTGGGGAGATCCTCAGTACAGCTGCAGATCTTCTGCCATTGGACACCTTGTCTGGAAAAGGGTATTTTTCTGAGTGATGCTTTAACATGATATCCAACCCTCCTGAAGGGCTGGTAAAGCTCTTCACCTACCTCTTAATTTCTGTGCCATGTTATAGTCCCAAAGCTTTATGGAGAAGTTACTCAGCTTGTTCTGATGCACGTGGCATTGCCTGTGTTTTGTAATGGGCAGGAGGCAGTTTAAAAATAAATAATCTTTCAGACAAAATATTACAATGACATAATTGGCTGAAATTTCATGGCCTGCACTCAGCCCTGACAGTCACTTGCGTTTTTCCTCTTCCAGCTTGTAACCTTTATGCTCTCATTCCATGCCTCATTTAAGCACTAAGGTACTCTTCCCATATTCAAATTAATAACTTCCTGCTAAACACCCTTTACTGAGGAGCAGTGATTACTCCCCAACGACAGTGGTAACTCTACTAATGTATGAGCTGTACTGCCACCTCTTTCCTTCCCCAAGCTCAAGCACATCAGGTGTAGTTCTGCTTCAATAAATGAAGCATGTGCTATTTTCCAGGTAAACACCATTACAGTGACAGACCAGCTCTGTTTAACCACAGCTAAACACGAGTTCAGAGTCACAACAGCCTTTTTTGGCTTCTATTAATTGCTTTCATCTTGAGCTTTGTCAAAGTACTTAAAAGAAGGGAAGGCGAAATACAGAGAGAGAGCACACATCAAGCAGAGGTGAAGAGCATTTATTACTAATCTGTGCTCCAGGAGGAGAGACGAAGCTATGAAAAGAAATAATCCCAGGAAACAGGTTTCTGAGCAAATGGAGATAAACACAGGCTGATCAAAGAGCTGGAAAGGGCCGATTGCAGAGAAGCTGCAGGGATTTACTTTAAGCTAGAGCGGAAAAATCAGATACTGTTTCACTGAGGGAAGTGACCATAGACTTGTGCTCACAACCAAAGGCTGATCTTCCAAATGTTTAATCTATCCCAGCAGCCGTTACAGTTCTTCCCATTGAAGTGCACCTCAGGGCATGCCTGGGTGTTTCTCACTCTCCTGAGTTGCCACACACCAAAACAGAAAACAGGATTCTTTTTTTTTTTTTTTTTTTTTTTTTTTTTTTTTTTTTTGCAGCCACCCACAACCTAAGTCTCAGCACACACAAATAAATTGGCAAACCAGGAATATCATTTAGCACCAGCTGAAGGAGCGTTCATGGACCAAGTTCACTTTGAACAAAGACTTTGAGGAAGAATCAAACCCTGGGCTCAGGTGTGTTTAAAGTCTGAACTCTCACGTGGCTCTTACGAAAGACCTCAACTTTCCTGTTTGCTGGTCTTGCCTCCAGTGATGCAAACACTTGAAAGAGTCCCAGGTAAGTGAAGAGTGAAATGAATCCTAAGCCAGTTACTCATCCCACTGTGTTCCAACCAAGACTCCTTTCCTTCCTGTTCCCAGCAGAGGAAAAATTTTAAGGCACCAAGACTTGCCTTGGCCACATCAGCCAGGCCAAATGCTGCTTCTGTGAAAGAACTGTGACACAGAGCCCAAAAATAGGCCAAACACAGGCAGTGAAAAATTAGCAGACAGATGTTGAAATAAATAATATGCTAGTAAGATCTTGGGAGACAAAAATTCCCTAAGTAATTCTACAGACACACAAATACAGCTCTGTGGGAATAAGAGGGATACTTTAATGCAGAAAAGCAAAAAAACAAAACAACCTAGAACACGAAACAAGTCAGTAATACCTGTTGACAGCTGATTTGTGTCCTTTGGCACAGGACACCAAATCCAGCTGCTCCCAGCACTGCTTCTCTGTGGCTACAGATCTGTTGTAGAGGCTGCATCTTTATTTTAATGATAAAAGTGCATTTGGGAGAGGAAAGGAAGTCAGACAAACGTGATGGGAAACACGTGAGCAAGAAATTTGCAACCTTTAGTTTCCAGCTGAAGTGCAAGGAAGCAGATTCCTACTCTGGAATAGAGTCAAAAGGCACAAAGAAAGGTGTGGAGCTCACGGGAACCCTCTAAGGCAAGAGCTGGCACACGGTCTCTGGGTACTGAGAGAGACACCAAGATTTCCAAACTCATAAGCATTCTTACAGCCCACGGGAATGTTCTCATATATTTCACTGGATTAGGCTTTCACTTTGCTACAATAAACCACTGAGCATGTCTATGAAATGAGCTGCCTGGTGTAACAGGCCCACATTGGGAAACTTGCTTTAGTCAGCCATGGCTTTGTCCCATTTTGTTTCTTTTTATACCCTGCACTCCTGAGAACCTGTGCTCTGTTAACCTGTTCAAATACTGCAGAATTATCAGTGTCAGTTGGATCACACAGTCTGATCAGTTTGTCTCAGCAGCCACAAATACACAGGCAGGCTGGATCATCCAGGGAAATGAAGAGCAACAGCAGCATCTTTACAGATATCGGAAATGGATTCTCAAAGACACAAACACCGATAAAGTTTTCAAATGTTTTTCTTTCATTGTTTAAATAAAAGTTTTGAGACTAACCATATCCCACATTATTTCCATTAAAAAAAACCCAAAACAATCTGTATGACACTGGTTAAGGTGGACAAAAATATCCACAGTGATTGCACAAAACGTTTGTGAAAATGAACAACATTTCAGCAAGTCAGTTGGTTTAAGCAAACAGAATTTCCTTTTCCAAGGGCTTGTCTCTACAGCAAAGTTACATAAAGATAACCTAAAATAGAAACTTAATGAAATTAATCACAAAACCTTCTGGGTATATAATCCTTTTTCATGGTGAGAGTGGATTGAGGTCTATCTTAACTCTACTGGGAGCAGGCTTACATTACATCAAAAGAATGTCTGCAAATAAATTTGCATTGTTCAAACAAATTTAGCTAAACCCAATATGAGTTAATCAGTGCAATTTTCAAAGAGTCAGCTTAAAAGGCAATTTAATACAAAAACCAGGAGGAACTTGACAGAAAATACACAACCCCCTGGACAGCTTCTTTCCAAGAGGTGATTTGTTCTTTCTAAGGATACACAACGACTCCCACTTGCCACCAAACTCAGTGGGAATTCCAGTGAATTCAGCTCTGCTCAGAGGCAGAACCCAGCATGGAACTAACCCTGCTGCATTAACTGCAAATGCTTCCACTCTCTTGCTGGAAGAGAGACATGGAGATGGCAAAATGTGCCAAGATTAACCTACAGTGCCTCACACCCTGTATTCAGCAAACAGGCACTCTGGAGCCACACCAAGCCCGCTCTGGGGTCAGTGCAGGTGCCAGACCTTGCCCACAGACCTTCCTGGCTGTCTTGCTCATCACTGTCAAACACATTTTGTGCAACTGCGTCGTGAATAAGCCTTTGTCAGATACTAAAAAGCTTTTCAAGATAAAAACTATGCTAAACATCTAATTGATATGATGGATAAACCCATCTCACCCCTATTCATTATCTAGTAATAGTGTTTTATTCAGTAGTGGGTTTCCAGCCACATCAAAAGTGGCCACGGCTTTATGTGCAACCAAAATTAAATAGCTTATTGATATTGCTGGATAAGCAAGAACAAATATTGCTTCAAGCACACTCTGCTTTGCAGCTCCCAGGATAAACAATGCATTTCACTTATTACCAAGCAGGCTATTTGGGAAAGAGCAGGCTAAGCTAGCTTGTTCAGAACACCAGAATTTCATTGTTCTTCTAGAAGAAAGAACAAAAAAACCAAAGAAATTGTTGTTGCAAAGTGTGCAACTCGCTAGATTTTTAAAAAATTAAAACCCCAATCCTCATAACTAGACTTTTTAGCAAAACTTCAGGAAGGAGTTTGTTTTTTTCCTCTCAAGAATAAAATCACAAAATATTGTCTCTACTTCACCTAAGGAGAAAGTTAAGGCTTGTTTTTTCAAGAATTTCCTTTTCAGAGGCAGGCATGAATTTAAAGTCACAGTCTGCTTAAGACATTACATCTCAGATTTACTCTCTGTTGCAGGAGGTGCAGACAGCTATGAGGCTTTTGTGGCAAGTTAGTGTTTTTAACACTTGAAAACACAAGATGTTCCAGTTTCACAACAGGACTGCTTTAACAATTGATATTTTTGCAATGTCATTATTAGAGCTTTCCCATAAGGCAATATAAAGAGGAAAATTACAAAAAAAGTAAGAGGTTTGGATCATCCACAATATTTTAACATGAACCAAAAAGAAAGAGGGAGAATTAATTGTGATCAGTCAAGCTCTTAAAGAGCAAAGGTCTCTGTTGGCCTTGGGTCTGCTCCTTCATTTATTAGTAAGAGAAACAGATTCAACTTCTGATTTCTTTGCTGCCAATGCCAGTCATCAGCTCCTAAGCAAAAGCAGACATCTTCCAGTACAATTTTTTTTTTCCTCCCAAGGAAGAAGCTCATTACCACCTGCCAGCCACTGGCTAGTACAGATTTGGTTTCCTCCAACCCATCACCTTGCTCCTGACAGTGGAAATACAATAACCATTCCTACACTCAACTACTCCAGTACTGAAAGCAAAATCCAAACTATTTTAAAAAACCCACTTTATCTGCTATAGCTGTACTTCTTTGAACTCAAAGGTATATTTGGAAGAGGTAGTCCAGGAGAAAAGGGTTTCAAATACCAAAACCTGTACGTCCCATACCAGCCCGACAGACCTATCAGCACACCGAGAAGCTTTTGACTGAAGTCGTGGAAATACAGGGCAGTGCAGAGGAACATGAACACCCAGATCACGGCGAGGAGACACAAGGAGACGAACAGCACGTTGACCACCACGCGCAGCCTCGAGCTGTGGTCCATGGACAAGCCCTCCAGCACGGCCACCTCCTCCAGGATCATCAGGGCGCAGTAGGAGAGCAGGAAGCAGTGCCCCGAGATGTCGAAGCCGTTCCAGACCCCGCTGTCCTGGTGGCATTCCCGCTTGGTGGCGTAGAGCCGGGGGGCGTCCCCGGGCTTGGCGGGCACGGAGCACTCCCCGGTGAGGTTCTCGATGTACACGAAGAGCTGGGTGCAGCCGAACCACACGGCCGTGCCCACGGCCAGCCCGCTCAGCCGCCGCAGCGCCAGCAGCGCGCTCCGCGTGCGCCCGTACAGCAGCTTGGTCCGGGCCAGCTGGTACGTGGTGAGAGCGATGAAGGGCAGCAGCAGCCACAGGGTCCAAGCCCAGGCCACCTTCACGAAGTACCTGCCAGAGACAAAAGGCGAAAGGGAAACGAGCACGTGTGAGACGAGCGCGAGCGAAGCTCCACGGCAGCTGCGGTGCCTCGAGTTTTCGAGATCAGCTCAGAACCATCCAAACGAGACGCTTGTGCCCTCCCCTCAAAGCACAGCGTGGCTAAAATCTTAACCCTCTCCCCGGTACTTCCCTGAGGCCCAACACCTGAACACTTTCCCAGCCAGGTCCTCGTCCCCCAGGCAGTGTTCCCCTGGCCCCAGAGCCCTCGTTTGTTGCAGCAGACTCGCAGTTCAGTTTTGCAATCACTTCGACCCTACAAACCTGCTCAACTCTGCCCTACTCAAAATGCAGCTGCAAAGGATGTATTTTTAGCTTGCCACCCTGACCATAGTAACCCTTTCTCTGACCCTTCCTCCGTCTCAATTATCTTTGCTTCCAAAGCCCTTCAGAACCTCAACCTTTTAACACTGAGACAGTCAGAAGGGCTGGCTCTTTCCCCTAATCAGTCCATGAAGCTTTTCCTCCCTCATGTCCTTATAAATAAATGAAGCAGCACAATGTTCCTTTGCCATCCTCTCAGCTGCTGAGAGCTTTCCTTTGGCTTACACAAATCCTTCCATCTCTTAAATTTACTCTCTGCCTTGAAAATGCTGGAGACAGCACTGTGTAACTAGTCCTTTTTTCAAATCTTAAAGTGGAACGTTTGCAAGTGAATTTACTAATGAGTTAAGGAGGCCACAGTCCAGGATTTTCTTTCTCCCATCAGCACCTTCCACTGGATTTTGCTTTCTATCAGCTGGTGGGAAACAGGAACTGTGCAGCCCCCTCATTACCCAGAGCCTGGTTTGAAAAGAGAGACAGCAGAATTCTGCTCTGTGGCTGAGATACAGCCAGACACACACAGTCATCATTTAATCCTCACCTCAGCATCAAAGACAAAGCCAAACAGGACTAGAGCTCTGTATCTTCCTTAAGACCCTAACAAAACTGCCAGGGCCTTGCCCAGGATTTTGAGGAGTTCCTCCTTCATTCTTTAATTTTACGGGAGAAGTGACATCTGTGCGGCAACTACAGCTGCTACCATGGAATAGTAATTGAAAATAAAATCTCCATTTTATTTAAAAGCAAAATAGGCTTTACTTTCAACTTTACTGCTGACAAACCAGCAGGCAAGTAATTTGTAGAGATAAAAACTTCCTTCAGGAACTGCCAGTGCAGATCACCTTCCTCTGTTTAAGAGGGAGAGCTGAACTGTAGTATGCTTTTACTGTAAGATCAATTTTCTCTAAGTCTTCCTGTCAATGCTCTTTCAATCACACTAAAAGCAGCTCCTCTCCAACATGTCACCAAATGACAGATCTGAATCAATAAAGTACAAAACTCCCCAAGTCACAGGGGAGAACAGCAATTTTAGCTTCACTTTCTGACCTGCAGCAGGTACAGCACACGTGCTCTGGCCCAGCTCATCACTTCCTCATGCCCTTCCAAAACGCTCAAACGCAGTTTTGCAGAATGACTAAGCCAGTTAAGTCGTTGCCCAAGTGCTAAAAGAGGATGGCTGTCACTCTGCTTCTAGGAAAGATGCTAAAGGGGGTGGCTGGGCACTGCCCAGGCTCCCCGGGGCAGTGGGCACAGCCCCAGGGCTGCCAGAGCTCCAGGAGCGCTTGGACAGCACTCTCAGGCACAGGGTGGGATTGTTGGAGTGTCTGTGCAGGGCCAGGAGTTGGACTCGATGATCCCTGTGGGTACCTTCCGACTCAGCACATTCTACGATTCTACTATTCTAAAAGACTTACTTTCTGCAGCTCAGAAAATTATTTCCTTTACAGATCAGTTCACTCAAACACGAGGAATTACCTGGGAGTTACGGAAAGAGAAAAAAAAAAAAAATCCTTCCTCCCCCCACCCTTTCCAATAAAAACCGAGCAAGAAACCCCCCGACGTGTCGAAACCTCCCAGTCCTGCGGGTCGTCGCGGGGGTTGAGATCTCACGGGGAACGTCTCATTTGAACCACAGAAACGCCCATTTAAAGCAGAGAAACACCAGTCTGAAGCCCAGAAACACACTTTTAAAGCCTAGAAACATCCATTCGAAGCACAGAGACATCCATTTAAAGCACAGACACATCCATATGAAGCACAGAAACACCAGTCTGAAGCACGCAAACATCCACTTAAAGCCTAGAAACACCCATTTAAAGCCCAGAAACACCCATTTAAAGCCCAGAGATCCATTCGAAGCACAGGGGCATCCATTCGAAGCACAGAGACACACATTTAAAGCATAGAGACGCACATTTAAAGCACAGAAATATAGATTTAAAGCACAGAAACATCCACTTAAGGCACTAAGCCCCCTCACAGCCCCGACCCACCGCGGGTCGGGCCGAGCCCCGTGTCCCTCCCGGACCGCCCCAGACCCCACCGCGGGCTCCCCCCGGCCCCTGCTCACACGTTGAGCGGGTTGCGCTTGTTCCGCAGCGGCGTGTCGGGCACCAGGTCGCTGTCCTTGAGCGCGGAGCCCAGCAGGGCGATGGCGAGGAGCGCGGCGGGGAGGCGGCGGCGCACCCGGCCCCCGGCCAGCGCGGCCCGCAAACACCGCCCGCAGCGCTCCAGCCGCTCCATGGCGGGTCCGCCCGGGCCGCGGATCCGCCGGTACCGCCCCCGGGCACCGCCCCGGTACCTCCTCCGGTACCTCCTCCGGTACCTCCTCCGGTACCTCCCCCGGTACCTCCTCCGGTACCGCCCCACGGAACCGCCCCCCGGTACCGCCCCGCGGGCGCCCCCGCCCGGCACCCGCCGGCAGCGCCCGGCGCGGGGGGCCCCGCGCCCTCTGCAGGGACCCGCGGGAGCGGATCCGCGGGGATGCCGCGGGACAAGAAAGCCGCGCTCAGGAACGCGTGTTTTCCCTCGCTCGCCTGTTAAAAGCGAGAACGCACACGCGCTTCTGCATCCGCTTCCAGGCGGCGCGGTGTTGCCGGAGCAGAGCATCAAGAAGAGACGCTCCAAAAAATACATACATACATATATATATATATTTATTTTTATATATATATATATTTATATTTATAATTTTATATATTTTTATATATTCATAATTTTATATATTTTATATATTTATATAATTATATATTTTTGTATATTTATAAAATTATATATTTTATATATTTATGATTTTATATAGTTATAATTTTATATATATTTATAATTTTATATATTTTATATATTTATAATTTTATATATTTTCAATATATTTATAATTTTATATATATATTTTTTTTATTATTTATTTATTTTAATTTTTTTTTTTATATGCAGACTTATATATGCAGTTCAGAGTAATCGAACTCCCGTTCGGGTGCAAAAGTCTAAGCATCTGTTCACTTACAAAAATGACAAAAGCTCGCCGAGGGCTCGTTTCTAACAGAATTGCAACATTTTAATAGTGAATGTCTTAAAAACAACTGAAATACAAACTTTAACCACCGGCTTGAAAAGCAGATTCTGCTCCTAAGCGAAGTGGCATCAAACATATAACGAGTTTTGAACAGGACCCTGGAGTTACCAGGGAGTGTTAGCAACTCTGACTGTCGCTGGTTGCCCAAGGGAAGAGATCAGTGTGTGGCCCCCAACTTCCCCTCAGGAGGAAGCTGTAGACTGAGATAAGGAATCACAGAATCATTTAGGTTGGAAAAGAACGATAAGATTGTCAGGTCTAACTGTTAACCCAGCACTGCCAAGCCCTCCACTAAACTATGACCCCACCACCACATCCACATGGCTTTCAAACCCTTCCAGGAACTGTGACCCCACCACTGCCCTGGGCAGCCTATTCCAATGCTTTATAGCCCTTTCTGTGAAGAAAGTTTCCCTAATTCCCAATCTAAACCTGTCCTGGTGCAACTTGAGCTTGTTTTCTCTTGTCCTATAAAAGAGCATCCATTACTTCTAAGCAGGGTACCAGCACCGCTGAAAGAGAGGGTCTAACCATGATACTCAAGAGGAAATCTGAGAATTTTCTTGCTCAGTAGAATTGTTTTAATTTCTCCTGGGGCTTAAGAGAGAGGGAGAAAGTATTTCTGGAGCTGTTAAGGCTCCCACGCCTTTTCACTGTCCATGTTTGTGGCTGAAAGTGGTGTCCAAGCACTGGCCGTCACTGTGGTATTTGAGACCTATTTCATCTATTGAACAGCTGCCGCTGTCATTTCAGCTTAGTTTTTAAAATACAAAAAAAGCATCAGCAAGCAGAGAAATGGCTCAATGAACAAAGAGCCTTTATTCATCCCAATGGCCTTAGTAAGAAAAATGTGAGAGCGGGGGGAAAAAAAGCAGGCCCTATCTGAGATGGGACGGGAAAGTGTTTCTGGCCAGAGCGCATTTCAAAGCTGTTTCACCGTCATCGTCAGCAGATCCACGACAACATCTGGGCTGAGAGGGCAGAACAACACATCAAAGCAGCCTCAGCAGATACGGGGTGTTTCAACTAGGGAGGTTATCCAGGGTAAATGGCATTTGGCAATTTATTAGATGTTGTTTTTAATAAGGCTGCCACGGCCTCGTCCAGCACTCCCAGCCCCGGCACCGCACCCCGAATTAGAAACGACAGGCAGCTGCGTCCACTCAGACGAGCGAGGATGAGAGGGGCTGGGAGCAGGTTTCACAGAGTCCGTCATTGTCTGCCTAAATCCCCTCTGCCTTTGAAACCTTGCCTCTCCTGTGCTTCCCAGGTTTGGGCCCGTGATCCCCAGACTGTTTGCAGTGCCGGCGCTGGAGGTGGGAGCTGCTCAGCTGGCTGCTAATGAAGCGTGCTGTGGTGTCTGCCACACGCAGCAGGATTTCGTAAGCTTGGCACCTGCTCCAGATGAATGGGAGTTGATGGCACGGGCTGGAAATGTGTCTATCCCCAGCCCAGCTTGAAATGTCTGAGGATTATCTCTGTAAATCACCGATTCTCACGAGTGCAGTGAGCAAAGCTCAGCCGGGTCCAGGTGTTCTCCAGATTTAGAGTAAATCTCTACATTCAGACTGTGTTTTTGCTGCCATGAGCACCAGCCAAGGCCGACAGTCCTTCTGAGGAACCGACTGCCATTCCTCTGTAAAGAACCAGAGAAGCAGAATTTAGGCCTTTTAAAACTGCAGAAAAAGGTTTTAATCATAAGTAGGGAATAAGGTTTGCTTTAAAGGGATTGCAGAAGGTTCCTAAAGACCTCTTACAGACACTTAGTCAAGCTGTGACAGATATAAACCATGCTAAACCAAATTATTTTGTCAGGTATAGCAGATGTGGCTGTCCTTCCCTTTCACTGTATCTTCTTCCTTAACCTCACCAAACCACAGCCTGATTCAAGCTGCAATCTTTCAGACTAATTGATTTTAAAAATTATTTTCGGTTTTTCCTTATTTATTTTGAACCAAGACCTCCAACAAATCACTTCTCTTTGAGAAATCCCACTTTGCCTCTAAAATCCACAGGAATAGATTCACTGGAGGCTGAGATTTCTGGGTCCACTGCTCTGCGTTGTGACCAAAGAAGGATGCCTGGAGAGAAACGTTGCACAAATTTTGTTACAAAACACACACAATGGTTCTTCTATCCCTGTACTGGCCATTTACTTAAGAGTTGGACTCGATGATCCTTTCCAACTCAGAATATTCTGTGATTCTCTAACTCCAGTTTGGGCTAAGGTGAGTTCTCACAGCCCAGTCGACACCAGAGGGAAGGTGTGCTCCAGGGGCACCAGAAGGAGACGGTGGGTGCCCATCCAGCTCATCAGGACTGGCAGAGCCACCAGCCTGTGCCCACACACTCGGTGGGAATGACTTACTCCTCTACTAACAGCCTATTTGGATCTGGGAGACCTGCTTTCTTCCCAGCTTGTCCTCCTGCCTCACAGCAATTCCCACAGCCCTCTGGCACCTGCTCACCCACCCCTGCCTGCCCAGGGGCCCTCGCAGCCCCCAGCCCTTCCCCTGGAGAGCCAGGTGCTCATGGCAGCTCATTCCTGCCAAGCCCCCCCTGCTCTCTGTTTTCCTTGGTGGATTCTGCTCACATCTCCATGATTGATCGTGTTTGAGTTTGATCCTGGAGCATCCCGGGGTGTTTGCATGAGAGGTGCTACATAAGCATAATTTGGGCTGAATTTTCTTTGCCTAATGGGAGCTTAAGCCTGGAGTTGAAGATAGTTTTGGCCCTTTGCTGAGACGCCGTTCATCAAAGCCAGTGGTTTGAGCTCCGCAGCCTTCTCTATTCACTGTCGGCTTAGAAAAAAAGATCAAAAAAATAATATTGTGCTTTGTTCCCTTGTGTCAGTGATGCCTTTGAAATGCAGCCCAGGGTGGAGGCGTAGCAGCCTTTCCCTCACAGGGGCCTGGATCTTTGCTGCCCATCTCTGATGGGAAGGGATTCTCTTCCTGTGAGCCCCAGACTTGTCATCGGTCCAGGCAGAACCGAGGCTGACCTGGGAGTGGATGATGTGTTATTTACAGTGGAGATGCTGAGTCGAGACACAGAAAAAAGACACTGGTAACTCACCACCTGTGTGGCTGCAAAAATTAATGGGAAAGGTCTTTGCCTGTGCTGAAACCCCAAGAATTTTAGAAAAAGGTGTGGAAATTAACCCCAGACAATTTGTACAGACTGAACCATTGCTGAGCCCAGGCTGAAAACCTCTGCAGGTTACACATTTCCCCTCTGACTCTCCTAAAGTGAACAGGAAGGGTATGATCTGAGCTGCAGGGAATTTGCAGCTTGTTTAGCGGTTACATCCAAAGATCAAAATATTTTGGCATATAGGGCAAAATGTAAGAAAGAGCCAATTCAGTTTTCAGTGGCTCATACTTTATTAATGCTACAAATTAATACCTACTGCTACAAAATATTTACATTTCTTGCTTGGTACAGCCAGATCACAGCAGAGCAGACTAATGATGGGGTTTAATTCACAGGAGAGAATGGTCTTGTGATGAGCATGGACTCTGGGGAGCTGGGTTTCATTTGTGACTGACAAACTCCTTCTCCAGCCATAGGCAAGTCCCTTAATCTCTGTGTCCCCACACCCTGAAAAGAATACAGGACAGGTTCTGTTCTTCTCCTTCCTGAAGTTCTTTCAGAGAAAATGATGAGGTTGCAGAGGGCTGCAATAATGGTCTGAAGAGCTTCAAAAGAAACAGAGTTCACAAAGATGTAAAATAACTACTCTGCCTACAATACAAATTCAGGAGCCCATAAACAGATGAAGTGGGGATGAGATTACAAGTGAAAAAAATATATAATTCTTGTGATTAAGTGTACATGTGCTTGGGCATAAAATGGCCTTAATTAGTCATGTTTATCTCAAAGTGCCTGACTTCCTTGAGCAGCTGTGGTGGCTGCACTTGCAGCTCCTTGCTGAAACATTCCCCTTTTTTCACACAGTGTATAATTCACACCTTCCATGTTTGCCAAAGAAACTCCCCACCACCCCCACCTGCACGTTTGAATTAATTTGATTCTCGATGTCTTTCAGGGGTAGCTGCTGAGCAGGTTTTTCCCTGCAGGCTGAGCAGGCAGTGCTCTCCCAGCAGCAGTTACTGGGAGTTAACTCCTGCCCAGACCAATTAACCTTTCTGTTGGCCACCCATAAAAAGT